AGGAACTCCCAAAACAGACCAGCATAGGGCTACCAGAACACTTATCTTGCTCAGTCTTGTGGGAACCCACCCATCTGGACAGATGAAACAGTGACCAAATGTTCAACCACACACTTGACATCTACACTTGCTGTTTCTCAGGATTCAACCTGGACATCCTCTTGTTTTTAGATCCATTCTCTAGTCTTCTACACATAACTACATGGTCCCTTTATCTGTATAATCGCTTGTTTTGAAGACCTGATGAAGAGTTTGAGTGAGAATGGCTTCCACAGGCTCAAATGTTTGAGTGCTTGGTCTGCAGTTAGTGGAACTGTCTGGGAAGAGCTGGGAGGTGTGGCCTTGTTGAAGGAGCTGTGTTATTGTGGGGTGGGCTTTGAGGTTTCAGAAGCCCACTCCAGGACCAGTGTCTCTTTCTGCCTGCTGCCTCTGGCAGATCGGGATGTATGTAAGCTCTCAGCTACTTCTCCAGCGCCATGTCTGCTGCTACCACGATCCTTGCCATAACAATCATGGGCTAACCCTCTGAAACTGTAAGCAAGCTCCTAATTAAATGCTTTCTCTTATAAGTTATTTTGGACATGATGTCTCCTCACAGCAATGAAACAGTGACTAAGATGCCTGACAATCACTCAGTCCCCCTCCACTCGCTGTCTCTACTGAGTCAGTATGGGGGTGGAGCACGGTTTTCTGTGTAGCTCTGGCTGCTCTGGAACTCTGTAGCCCAGGCTGCCAACAAAGTCACAGAGATCTGCCTGCCTCTGTCTCCTAGTGCTGAAGAATACATTAATAAGCAAAACAATGCCTGCCCTCATGGAACTTATAACGACCGATTTCAACATGGTCTCATTGAATCTACTTTTAAAATATGTTCCTAATCCACTTTTCCCCTCTCAGTTTTTCTGTTTATCTCTAGCTGTTCTGGAACTCACTCTGTAGACCAGGTTGGCCTTGAACTCTGAGGTTTGCCTGCCTCTGCCTCCCAAGTGTTGTGATTAAAGGCATGTGCCACCTTATCCAGCTCACTCATTTTATTTTTAGATCCACTTCTCTTCCCTTTTCATGCGTGGGGTGAACATGTGTGCATGTGTAGACATGTATATATGTGTGCACATTCATGTGTATGGTGTGTGCATGTATATATGTGTGCACACATTCATGTGTTTGGTGTGTATGTTGTGTGCATGTGTGTGCATGTAGACATGTATGTTGTGTGCATGTGTGTGCATGTATATATGTGTGCACACATTCATGTGTATGGTGTGTGCATGTATATATGTGTGCACACATTCATGTGTATGGTGTGTATGGTGTGTGCATGTGTGTGTGCGTGTAGACATGTATGTTGTGTGCATGTGTGTGTGTGCGTGTAGACATGTATATATGTGTGCACACATTCATGTATATGGTGTGGGCATGTGTGTGTGCGTGTAGACATGTATGGTGTGTGAGTGTAGACATGTATGGTGTGTGCGTGTGTGTGCGTGTAGACATGTATGTTGCACGGGTGGAGATCAGAGGACGACTTTGGGGAATCTGTTCTCATCCTCCATCTTGTTGAGGCAGGCCCTTTGTTTTGGCTACTTCACTGCATACTCCAGGCTCACTGACCCTCAGTCTCCAAGGCCATTCTCTCTCTGCCTCCAATCTCACTGTAGGAGTGCTGGGGTTACAGATGCATACTACTGAGTCTGGCCTTTTAAGTGAGTTCCAGGGTTTCAACTAGGGCAATCACACTTTTGGGGGACTAGGCTTTACCCCTGAGCCATCTTATTGGCCCTCCAGCAATATTTCTTACTAGCCATATTGCCATAGTTCTCTATGTAGCCTCTAAGTGTTTCCTTATGTGGTACGGGAAGTCCTTCTGTATATGTGTTGCTTTTATTGGTAAATGAATAAAGGTGTTTTGGCCAGTGGCTTAGCAGAATAGGACAAGGCAAGAGTTCCAAGCAGATAGAGGAGGAGAGAGTAGGCGGAGTTAAGGAGAAGCCCTGGAGCCGCCAGAAGAGAAAGACGCAAGCCTTCAGCCGGAACCTTGCTGGTAGGCCACAACTCTCGTGATAAAATATAAACTAATAGAAATGGATTAACTTTTAGATATAGGAGTTAGCCAAAAACACGCTTAAGCTATTGGCCAAATAGTATTGTAAATAATATAGTCTCTGAGTGATTATTTCAGATCTAAATGGCCAGGAAATGAACAAGTAGCCTCCTGTTAACACTTACGACCCTCACAGATCACATCTCCACACAAGAATCTTTACATTTTGAATAATATTTTGTCATTGTCTTATTTAAAAACCATTTAACAACATCTAAACACAAAAGAACTTAAAACAGAACCCAGAATCTCCAGTAAGATTCCAAGGCTCTGTTCCCTTTGCCAGTCTCACCTCGTGTTCCATTTCCAGTACCCCTAACTCTTTCCGTGGCCACGACTCACACACCTCTTCTGGATTTAGGGTCCTGGCACATGCTAGTCCCTCTGCCTGGCAACCTCCTTTCTTTCACTCTGTTGCCTCAATAAATTCTACTAATCCCTCAGGCCTCACTCTGATCACCCCCAGTCCTTCCCGACTTAGAGAATAGGTCTGGCTGCACTCTAAGATTGCTGCGTCTAAAGTCCACGTGAAACAGCGGCCTCACTAAGGCAGGAATCACGTCATCCACCTTCTCGCATCTGTCAGTTAGGACAGGCTTTTGCTACTGTTAGGGAGTCAATAAATACTTGTAACATAAATTAGTTAATAAAGAATCCACTGCTGGACTTGGACAGACACCAATGCTTACTGTTTCTGTGTGGGCTCTTCCAACCTGCACACTGTAGGGAATGGAAGCAGAGATAGTTCAGGCTTACATAATATAGCATGAGGCTATAGTACCCTACACAACTTGCTTTTGAGATCGTATAAAATGTGCACAGCATTACCCAGGCATGGTAGTGTACATACATGCCCATAATTCCTGGATTTGGGAGGAAGAGACAGGAGGATTCTGAGTTCTTGAGTCCAAAGCCAGCTTGGTTGGGGTATATAGAAAATTCAAGGGCAGTCTGGGCTACACAGTGAATCTCTGTCTTAAACATCTACAAAATAAAACTGGTATTTTTCTGTAAATTAAAAACAAGAAAGAAAGAATATAAATTTAAAAGATGCAATACTAATTATGAAAACAAAATATCATAGTTAAACAGTTTAATGAAAATATTTAAGTCCCTCAACCTTTTCTTAGTAAAGAAATAGACACAGGATAAGTATTCATCACCTGATGGATAAAGAAAATCTGGCACATATACATAATGCAATGCTACTCAGCCTCAAAAGGATGAAATCTTGTCATTTGTAGCAACGTGGATGGAACTGGGGTCAACTATGTTAAGCAAAATACGCTATAGGCAAAAAGACAAGTACCATAACATCTCACTCACATTTGGATCTAAAGTAGTTGATCTCATAGGGGTTAATAGCACAATTGTGCCAGGCATGGTGGTTTATACTGTTAATTCCAGCACTCTGAGAGACAGAAGAAAGGGAATCTCTGTGAGTTCAAGGCCAGCCTGGTCTATGTAGCAAGTTCCAGGCTAGTCAGTAGTCAGGCATACACGGTGAAATCCCGTCTCAAAAAGGGCTGGGGGTGTTGTTTTACCAAAGACTAAGAAGAGCGGGGGTAAGGCAGAGAAAGGCTGATTAATGACTACTAAGTTTGAGCTAGACAGCACCCACAAGTTTGGTGGTGCAATTCTGCAGAAGGGAAACAACAGCCAACAATGATACAATGAGCTAGAAGAAAGGATTTTGCAAGCTTCATGGAGAGAAATGATATTTAAGGAGACAGACACTTTGACCTGATTTGAATATCTCACAATGTGAATATATCAAAACATCACACAATTCCCTAAATATTGTGTTCAAGTTTTACGTTTTTATATACCACTTAAAAATAAAATTTAATCATGCCGGAGAAATGGCTTAGTAGTTAAGATCACTGGCTATTCTTTGGGGGACTGAGGTTGAGTTCCCAGCACCTACATGGTGGCTCACAGTCATCTGTAACTCCAATTACAGGCGATCTAATGCCTCTTCAGGCATCCATGGGCAGCAGGCACACACACTGTGCACGTCCATACAGGCAAACCCTCACATATACACACATAAAAAAGAAATAATTTTTAAAATTAAGAAACCCTCATTAGTAAAAACTACAAAACATAGCTGAGATAACTTTTACCAGCTTTAATTAAATAGAAATATATACCATGTTCACAAATTAGCAAATCTCAATATTGTTAAAAGTGATTCTCCTACCATCACAGAAGAGCTATAAATTCAATGCAATCCCATTACAAAACCCTGCACACTTTTGTAGCTGGAATTGACAAGATGGTTGGAATTATTTGGAAATATAACACCAAGTACAGTCAAATTGATATTAACAAATACTAAAAATGTGGCTAGCTTAACTACTTGGCTTTAAGACTTACTATAAGGCTTTAATAGTTCAGAAAATGTAGTATTGGCTAGGTAAGTACATAATAGCTCAATCTATAAATAGCCACACTTATCAGTGGACCAATTTTCAACAATTCAACACTATCAGTATATGCTGCTGGGAGATACAGGAAGGACCCCTGGCCCCTGCCTTACTGGTAGCCACCTATTACCACAAGGGAAATTCCATTTTGTTGATTGCTTTGTTTTGTCTGTTGAGATTAAGTTTCACTCTGTAGCCTCAGGCTGGCCTTGAATTCACTACTAGAATCTTGTGGATGTGCTTGTCTTTTCTTAGTCTTTAGTCTTTTTTTTTTTTTTTTTTTTTTTTTTGGTTTTTCGAGACAGGGCTTCTCTGTGGCTTTGGAGCCTGTCCTGGAACTAGCTCTTGTAGACCAGGCTGGTCTCGAACTCACAGAGATCCGCCTGCCTCTGCCTCCCGAGTGCTGGGATTAAAGGCGTGTGCCACCACCGCCTGGCTAGTCTTTAGTCTTTAGTAGATCCCACAGGTGGGCATTAGCCAGATTGTTCATTCTAATTGTCTTTTTAATTATGTGCAATTGTTTGTGTGGGTATTTGCAGGTGCCTGTGGAGGTAAAAAAAAAAAAAAGTCAAATTGGATCCCCTGGAGCTGGAGTTGTGGGTCAACATTTGTGAGAGCAGGAAAATGAACCCCCAACCCTTCCAAAGAGCAATATCTGCTCTTAACCTTTGAACCATCACCTCTCCAGCCCCAGGCTGTCTTTGTGTGGTGAGAGATTTCTCATTAGAAAAGGCCAGGTATCTGATAAACTGGTTTTGAGATGTGAAAGTGTATTTTTCCTGATGCCCCGATCAAGATTTGTCCCGCTCTTTAGATCAACACAATCTGAATATCAAGGTAAAGTTACTAAATATAGAGTGTAAAGTATGTAATCAAGTGTTTACTGACTACAAACACTAAATACTGTGGATCATTTGTTCCTACCATGCCTGGCCATGACCTCTCGTGCTCACAGTGTCAAAGCTTCTCACCACAAGATGTTGCCAAAATTGTTTCTCCCTGAGATCTCTGACAAGAGTTCAGGCCATGAGAAAATCTGCTTGAGACTGAACTTAAACTTTATGGAGAAGTTCTTGTGCCCAGATGGATGGATTTGGGCTCCCTGCAATCAGAATGATCAGTCACCCCTACCCCACCCAGGGTCCTTCAGTGAGATTTTGACTGAGTCCCGAGGAGCAGAGTTTCCAAGAAAGAATTCCACTCGTCCCTGAGTTTACAGGCGCAGTACACACTGGTAGGATTATGACATTTTGGACTAAGAGACACCCTGAAGCTAAAACCTGGGGCCTAAAAGGGGAGTAGAAAGCATCCTCAGTACTTCAAAAACCAGCACAAAGAGTGTAGCCAGGAACAGTGAAACAGAAATGCAAACTCAGACAATGACCAGGTAGAAATTAAGACGGAATTGGAAAGCAATTTTGCATAGTGGTCGCTGAGATACGGCAGTGCTTGACAAGAATGTTAGCCTAGACAGGGCATGGTACAAAGGCGGTTAAGTGGGGGCATCTCTCCGCCACCACAGAGTTCTGCCGGCAACTCCTTGTGAGAGAGCCACGTATTCTTTGTTGGCAGCCACAGACTGAATCTCAGGTAGCCAGCAGGTCAGCCAGGCCTGGAGTCAGCATCTACCACTATGACCAGGGCTAGGTCCAGTTGCACATTACTGAGGAAGTGGGGATAGTGGGGATGATTAGCCTTCCAATTCATAGAAAAGTGATCTGTGAACTGTGTAGTTCTAGCGAGATGTGCAGGCTGTAGCAGCTTTAATTCCTCTCTCAAAAGAAAAGAGATGGAAGAATTTCTGCTGCCAGATTACATTGTAATTTTCAGTAGAAGTACAATTTTTAATTTATAGCTGAACCCTTTGATTTAGAGGTGGAACGAATGTATACCCATCTCCATAACACACAGGAAGACGAGTTCCTCACGTACTTTGATTACCGGAACTAGGAGAAATGTGAATACCCAAACCCTCTGCCAGTTACTCTCAGAAAACAGCCAACACGTATCTGAATATCAACAACCATCCACAATAATTGAACGCTACAACTGTTGTTCTGCACCCCCATAGAGTCCATTTTCATACAGACAAAACAAAAACCTCCAATTTTCTGTTTTTTGTCATCATCTCCCAGTAAAGTTGTCCAAGATCCCATTGGAGTGAACTCCCCAGTCTCTGCTCCCCAGTATTGCAGTTGAGGGAAAGTGTTTTTAAAAGAGTTCACTCCAATGGGATCTTATTTTATTTGGGGGCCATTGGATTACCCTTCCTTCTCTAAGTATCACTAATCTCTTCAATAAATTTGGAAACCAATTATTATGTTTTTAATAGATAGACAACACATAAATAGAAAAAAACCCCACCAGTTCTAAGTTAGCACTTAGGACCTACACTTTCCAGAAAATTTTGTTTATGAAAGGGGAAACTTAGTGAAGAATGAATATATTAAATCTTAATGTTTAAAATCTTAAAGGCTTTTGCTCGAGAAATTCTTCACTGTGTAAATGGCAATAATAACTCGTGCTTGTGATACATTGGTGAATTCTGGATATTTTAAATATCATCAGTGCAGGTAAAAATGATAAGAGAGATGTTTAACTTTATAATTACACACATATTGCACTACTGAACTGTCTAACAGGTGAAATGCCTTTACAGTTCTTCCTCGTGACAACACATAAATCATATATTTGAGAAAAATTTCAAGCGTGTAGGAGATAAAATTCACCATACTTGGAAGTCAAACAACTGAAAACACGAAACTATATCAAGAAAGTCTAAGTACGGAGCTGAAGAGACCATAGGCGTCTACAGTGCCTGCTGCGCAGTCATGCACACTGGGCATTTGGATCTCAGCAGCCATAAACCAGCTGGGGCGTCCCACAGAGGACTATAACCCTCTCCATGGGTTCAGAGCAGGGGACTTCTGGGGCTTGCTGACTTCCAGACTAGTGAGAAAATGTGAGTCCCGGGTTCAGGGAAGGAGCTTGCCTCAAATGAACAGGCAGAAAGCGATAGAGAACACACAGTTCCTTCATCCAGCTTCTGTACGTGTGCATACATTCATACGGACACAGACAAACAGGTACAAGCAACTTTTACAAGAAATATATGTATGATCCCTAATGACCAGACATAATATTATTTAAAGGGCATTAAATGAAGTATATGAATTCACTGGCAGATTTAAATGCAACTAAAGGCCATTCTGTTGGGGCTAGGGACGTATTAGCCCAGAGGTAAAGTGTTTAGCTCAGATCTTGGTTCAATCCCCAGAAAGGGAGGTTAGAAGAAAGACAAGCAACTGTAACTTTCCAATAAATTTTGTTTCTTCACTCTAGGGGCATTCGTGTTTCCTCAGCCTTTCCTGAGGATTGAATCTAGGGTCTCCATACAGGCGAGTCTCTACCTCTGAGTTTTGAGTTACACCCACAACTTCTGTAGTCCTAACAGATAAACTGGCATCAAATAATCGACATAAAGATGCCTCATGATCAAAAGGAAAAAGAATTAAATGTGGAAAGAGCATTATCTTTGGTGAACTAAGCTACCATATTATAGGGCACAGAGTAATACAAAGTAGAAACTTTTATATCATGCAATAGTTGCGGGCAACAATATCCTTTAAACCAAACATGGTGGCTAGGTTGTTGTTGGTGACTGCTTTATTAATTCCAAATACCCATGAATCATCTATATGAGAAGGATAGTTCACTCCAAGCTCAGAATGGACTCACCTGAATTAATGCATGATTATCTTTAGAAAATACTGAATCACCCGATAGCAAAAGAGGCTCGCTTTTCTCGCAGCTCTCCTGGCTAATGAGCGTGTCTGCATAGTTGGGCTGCGGGAAAATCAAATGACTCTTTCGGGAGCCTGCAGTGAGTGAGACCTCGTGCGAATAGGTCTGCAGGAAAGCTTGCACTCCGTCTACGCCCACAAAGTGAGAGGCTGGAACGTCAGCCAATCCGGGTCCCGCAGCCCCGAGCAGGCGCAGTGAGTGCCAGCGCCGCAGCCTGAGCGCCAGCAGCACCAGAACAAAGACCAGGAAGACGCTGGAGACCGCCGCCACAGCCACCACCAGATAGAGCGTGAGCCCTGAGCTTTCGGAGGTAGAAGGAGACTCCAGATTGTCCAGGTCCGCCAGGACGTCGGGGATGCTGTCGGCGATCGCCACAGTGAGCGTGACAGTAGCGGAGAGAGGGGGCTGGCCGTGGTCCTGCACAGCCACTACGAGGCTCTGCTTGAGAGCATCTCTGTCCATCAGGGCTCGAGCCGTGCTTACCTCGCCCGTGTGCAGCCCCACCAAGAAGAGCCCTGGCTCGCTGGCCTTGAGCAGACGGTAGGACAGCCAGGCGTTCTGTCCTGAGTCTCTGTCCACCGCCACCACCTTCGTCACCAGATAGCCAGGCTCTGCTGAGCGGGGCGCTAGCTCCACCCCAGTAGAACCGTCCGTAGGGAGAGTGGGGTACAAGATTTCGGGGGCATTGTCGTTCTGATCCAGCACGAACAGATTCAGTGATACGTTGCTGCTGAGCGGCGGGTCCCCGCTGTCACGCGCCATCACCTGCAGTTGTAGGTCTCGGAACTGCTCATAGTCAAAGGAGTGCAGTGCATACAGGACACCAGTGTCCGAGTTGATGGAGACGTAGGAGGAAAGGGGCACGCCCTGGTGGGTGTCCTCAGCTAGGGAGTAAGTGACTTGGGCATTCTTGTCACTGTCGGGGTCGTGGGCGGTCACGGATGCGATGGAGGCCCCTCTAGGATTGTTCTCTGGGATGTAGGCCCAGTAAGAGGCCTGAGGAAAAACGGGTGGGTTATCATTCGTGTCTGCTATGATCAGCGAGAGGTGAGTTTCGGTTGACAGGGGCGGGCTTCCTCTATCAGTGGCGGTCACTGTGATGTTGTAGCTAGGAACCTGTTCTCGGTCTAGGACTGTGTCTGTGACTAAACTATAATAGTTTCCATAAGATTTCTCTAATTTAAAGGGCAGATTCTCCTGGATGGAACAGACTACCTGTCCATTTTCCCCCGAGTCTTGATCATTTACATTTAAAAGGGCTATTAATGTCCCTCGGGGAGAGTTTTCTGGAACAGAGCTGGTGAGGGATGTGATGGTTACTTCAGGAGCATTGTCGTTCACGTCCAGAACTGTGACGAGGACTTTGGCCCGTGCAGAAAATCCCGCCTTGTCGGTTGCTTGCACGTCCATCTCGTAGAAACCCGATTCCTCGTGGTCCAGCTCCCCTATTGTTGATATTGTCCCCAAATGACGGTCTAGCTTGAAAACTTTAGCCGCCTTGTCGTCCACATACCGGAAGGAATACATCACTTCCGCATTGACTCCTTCGTCCGGGTCGGTGGCATTGACTTGCAGCAGCTGAGTGCCCACAGCCACGTTCTCCCGCACACTCATGCGGTACTCAGACCGAGCAAACACAGGTGCGTTGTCGTTCGCGTCTAGGACTGTCACGCGGATGCGCGCCGTGCCAGTGCGAACTGGGTCCCCCGCGTCTGAAGCTGTGAGGACCAGGAGGTGCTCCGCCTTTTCCTCGCGGTCCAGTGCGCGCTCCAGCACCAACTCCGGGTACTTGTTACCATCAGCTCCTTTCTGCACCTCAAGCGAGAAGTGAGCATTCGGGCTGAGCTGGTAGCTCTGAAGAGAGTTCTTCCCGATATCTGGATCATAAGCGTGGGGAAGAGGGAACCGCATCCCAGCGGCGGCGTTTTCAATCATTTTTATTTCTAATTCACTCTCACGGAAGTAGGGAGCATTGTCGTTAATGTCCCGCACTTCTACTTCCACTCCGTAGATTTTCCCTATATCTTCCATCAGAATCTCTAGATTTAATTGACAACTGATGGACCCCATGCACAGCTCCTCCCGGTCTATCCTGCCCGCGGTGACCAAGCTGCCGCTCCGCGGGTTCAGAGCGAAAAGTTGAGTCCTACCTCTGGAGACGATGCGGACCCCTCGCTCCGCCAGCTCTCGGGGCTCCAGCCCCAGGTCCTTGGAGATGTTGCCCACCCTAGATCCTTTCTCCAGCTCCTCAGGAACTGAATAGCGTATCTGGGTGGATCCGGCCTCCCATAGGATCCCAAGGAGGACAGCCAGCAAGACCAGCCCTTTGCCATCCTCGCGCCATTGCGCAGGGATCATTGTCACTTGAGGATTATCTCCAATCCTGCCTTTGACCACTTAAACCAGAATCCACCTTTCAGGCCTTGGAACCCGACAGTCAGGAGATGGGACCCGCTCCTGTGGCCAGTTTCCTCCGAGAGGTGTTTTTGTCTTTATCTGCTTTGTGCTTTAGGCGCCTGCAAAGTCAGCGAGCAGGGCTTCGCTGCTTTTTCCTCCCTGGTTGAACAGCGGCGCTCAGAGTCCGAACCAATTACTGCACAGTCCTGAACTAAGGGAGAGAATTACTTTGGCCTTGTACCTTGAATAGCTCCATCTACTGTTCTTCAAGTGGAGATGGAGACAGAAAGATTTAACAGTAGTGGACAGTTCAGTGAGCATTTTAGTTCTCTCATATTTTACCTACAAACCCACTTCCTTGAAATTATTTTCAGTAGCTGTTTGTGTTTTCCTGTTTTTGCCCAATAAGACAAAATTTCAGTAGATCTTTGGTGTTGAGTAAGACTTTAGTAAGAAAACTAGGAATCTGAAGAATACTATAAAATTACCTTGTCTTGGGTAACCGACCTAATTTTAGTAACTGAGAATTATTGGCCGTACATTTAGAAGCACATCAGAATGTAGAAAAGATTCTAGGAGAGGACATATTTCATGTGTCTAGAAGCTGTGTTTGATGATGGCTGCAGGACAGTGGACCTTAGCTATCTCCAGTGCTTAAGTATAAACTCTAACTGAGCTAGCCTCCAGCCTCTGGTAGCCAGAAGATAAAATTGGAAGGAAACTTATAGATACTCGTGGGAAAAGACCAGACATAAAAATGGGATTAAAAGAACCCTTAATATATCTGAACACTATCACCAAATTATTATCACATCATATTTGAGAACCTTTTTGTACATAGTATTTCTCAATTTATATTAATAAAGAAAAAGCCTCATAAGCTCAAGATATTGATCTCCCAAGAAACAACTACAGAGAAACAAAAGTATAGTTCAGTTTATATTTGAGTAGGCTCAGCATGAGATGCTCAGCAGGTAAAGGCGCCTGCTGCCCAACCTAACAGAATCTGAGTTAAGTTCCTGGGACTCACAATGTAGAAATAGAGAACCAACTCCCAAAAGTTGTCCTCTGACCTCCACATGGCGCGCGCGCGTACACACACACACACACACACACACACACACACACACACACTGTTTAGAATTACTTGAAAGGCAGTGAGCCATAATACTTCTATGTTTTGAGTTTTGATGTATATGGATAAAATATTTCAAAATTCTGAAGCCTAATGGTGGCAGTTACTGGCCCATAGAGAAAAGACAGGAAAGGAAGTGAGATTGTGCAAATCAAACAGGAGATTGTGAGTATAATGTGCTTTAAGATATTCCTTTCAAAGCCAGATGTGGTGGCACACACTTTTAATTCCAGCAGAGGGAGGAGGACCTCTGTGTGTTCAATGCCAACCTGGTCTACACAGTGAGTTCCAGGACAACTGGACCCTGTTAAAAAAAATCATTCCAATCGAATATGAAAATTAAACAAATTGCGAATGAAAGGCACATTGAAACTCACGTGGGTAGAAGCGAGAGAATCAGAGACTGTCTTGTTCTCCTCAGTGGCACTCACTTCCACAGAAGCTTGCATTGAAAGATCTTGCGGAGGGATCATTTCTGGCGTTAAGGTAAGAAAATGAGATGTTTTTTGACTATTGGAGGCAACATAGAGATTGTAGGAATAAGGCAGAGTCCCCTCACTGTAGTTGAGAGAAACCCCTGGTCTAGTCTTACAACAGAGGCCAGACTGAAAGCAGTCTGAGGCTGCAAGACTGTGGGACTGTCGAAGACGAAGGACCATGGCGAGAATCACAACGAAAAGAAAGAGTACTGAGACCAAGGTCAAGGCCACCACCAGGTAAAACTGAAGCTCACTCTGGGGGTCCGATGGCAGAGGGTCATCGCTGAGGTCTGGCAGGACCTCCTGTAGGCTGTCAGCGAAGATCAGGTGCAGCGTGGCTGTAGCCGAGAGCGGTGGCTGCCCAGCATCACGCACAGCTACCAGAAGGCGCTGCCGAGCTGCATCTCTGTCACCCAAGGCACGCGCTGTGCGGACCTCGCCAGTGCGCAGCCCGAGGCTGAAGAGTCCCGGATCACTGGCCTGCAGCACGTGATACGACAACCAGGCGTTATGTCCGGAGTCTGCGTCCACCGCCACTACTTTGGTGACCAGGTATCCGGGCTCGGCGGCGCGTGGTACCATATTGAAGAGCGCAGAGCCATCAGGCTCGAGCGTGGGATACAGCACACGCGGCGCGTTGTCGTTGCGGTCGCCCACCAGCACGCGCATGCTCACGTTGGCGCTGAGCGCGGGCGAGCCCTGGTCGTGCGCCTGCAATGTCAGTTGGAAGGAGCGCAGCTGCTCATGGTCGAAGGCGCGCTGTGCGAAAACTACCCCGCTGTCCTGGTTCACGGATATGTAGGACCATAGCGATTTAGGTTCCAGGTCGCTGGCTATGATAGAGTAGGAAACATGGCCATTGGGCCCCAAATCCGGGTCGGAGGCGCTTACTTGTGCAATGGAAGCACCAGGCGGGTTATTTTCAGCCACTTGGATCAAGTAGGAGGCCTGGTGGAAAACTGGAGCGTTGTCATTGATGTCCCCAACGTGCAGCGTGACGCTTGTGCTGGAGGAGAGGGGTGGCTTGCCTCTATCAGTGGCGACGATGGTGACATTGTACACTGAAGTCTGCTCCCGGTCCAGAACCCCATCAGTTACAAGCTTATAGTAATTACTGGCAGAAGATTCAATTCTAAAAGGAACCGTTTCTTTTATGAAGCACGTCATCCTTCCATTTTCTTCTGAATCTTTATCATATGTTTTGAACAGAGCCACCACTGTCCCAGGTTCTGCATTTTCGGTTATAGAATTGGACACCGAAGTAAAAACTGCTTCCGGGGCATTGTCGTTTTCATCGAGAATTTCTATAATAACTTTACATTCTGTGGCCATACCTCCACCGTCCTTGGCCTCTATGCTCATGGTATAAGTTCTCTTGGTTTCAAAGTCTATAGGGCCTTCAGATTTAATTTCTCCATTTTGGTAATCTAGGATAAACTTATTTCTAATATCATCTCCTACTGATTTGAAGAAGTAGGTGACCTCTGCATTGACACCCTCGTCCTGGTCGGTGGCCACCACCTTTACCACAGAAGTGCCTGAGGGCACGTTCTCTCTAAGACTGACTTTGTAGGAGTCTTGGCTGAACACTGGGGGATTATCATTAGCATCAGTGACCACGATTTGAATTTGAGCAGTGCCAGTTAGTACTGGTTCTCCCCCATCCACCGCGGTCAGGACCAAGAGCTGGGAGCTCTGCTTTTCCCTGTCTAAAGGCTTCTCTAACACTAATTCTGGTGCATCCTTGCCTTCAGCCTTGTCCTTCACCACCAGAGAGAAATGCTCATTCTTACTGAGCTGGTAACTCTGGAGGGAGTGCCGTCCTACATCTTCGTCTATGGCAGATTCCAGGCCAAACCTAGTGCCTGGAATTGCAAGTTCATTGATTTGTAAAACAATACTCTTTTGGAGGAAGTGGGGAGGATTATCATTTATGTCTTCTATCACCACGCTGATGTGAAAGACGTTTAGGGGGTTTTCTGCCACAATCTCTAAGGGCAGGACACACAGGGAGCTTTGGAAGCACAGTAATTCTCGATCTATTCTGTCGCTCACAACTATGTTCCCGTTCTCAGGGTTCACAGTAAGGTACGGTTTCTCTGCGATAACTCTGAGGTTTCGAGTCCGTAAATCCCGAACAGGCAGCCCCAGATCCACAGCGAGGTTTCCCACAACCGAGCCCATGGCCATTTCTTCGGGAATAGAATATCGGATTTGCTCCGAAAGCCCCGTGCAGAACAAAGGCAGCAAGAACGGAAAGAGTACTTGCCTCCACCGGGTCCTGCTCCCTGGTTTCACTGTGGCCTCCATCCTTCTCAGAGGTTCCCGGGTGAAGCGGGAAGGCTTCACGAATTACTTCCACCACGAGGAAAACCCAAACGCTCCCTCCAAGTTTGAAGATCTCACAGTCTCTAATCTGATTTGCTAAGCAGAAGATTCAAGTCCCCCCCACTCTTTAAGCCTTCAGTGAACTTTCACAATTTCAACCCGTAGAGCCTGGGAGTCAGCTCTTACAGCGAACTGGACAACAGCGGCGCCCAGAGTCCACTCATAAAATTGCAACCAGAAGCCTTTACAGATTCAATGGGATTAGGTATACAGAGCTATATTGGGACAAAAGCAACAAAGGAGTTTGAGTTTAGAATTTGTTTTCCAGTGTTGCTATTGAACAAAGCCCCCAGAGATGGAATCTGTAGCATAGCTATTAACCAAGCAATGAGAGAGTAAAAGGCCTGTTTTCTCCTGTCAGAGGAGATGCACACAGTGGAGGAGCCAGGTAAGACTCTTCTCAAGGCCACGTGGAAAATAGCCCCACCAAGTGGTTTGGGAAAACCTGACACACGCATAATTGCTAGAGACAGGGCACTCCATACTATTTAGGGCACATTTGAAATAAAGATGATCAGCGCCACAAATTATTTCTAGTTATAATATAGATGCAATACAGGGATTGTTAAATGCTCGTTCATCCTTAAGAATTTAATGACATGACATGTGAGCGCATTTTCTCTTTTACCCTTTTATTTAAATGAACTATATGGTGCATCCTAACTGAATCTTCAGCGACTTGCAAATCAGCTTTCAGAGTTCTGTTCACAGCTCCCCACCTCGTTTAGATTGTGCTTTAAAACACGGTGCAATCTCTCCCTACCAATCATAGCATTTTGAATAATTCTAGTTCAAATGTAGTACCTTAAGGATTTTTTTCTTTTTTGAGTTTGGAATTCCATAAGTATAAACACTACTCAAAACACTCAAATACTCTTCTTGGCTTCAAGACAAATTTAGACATATGTAGGAAGAACTAACAACAGTTGAAGAATTGTGCTCAATCACCAAATTTACAATGAATTATATTAAGATCAACTCCTAAGTGTAAACCATTAACTTGAAAGGAAATATTAATGCACAAATAGCTTGAATCAAATCTCCAGGTGTGACATAGGAATGTAGAGTTTAATTATGGAAGTGATTCATGAGATTAAATCTTCTAGATAAGTCTCTTTTTGTTGTTTGCCTTTGCTTCAGATAATATGCATATTACTGGATAAGTATTGAGGCTCTGATAGCAAGGGCTTTTTCTTTCTGATTACCACAGTTGAACATGCTTAAGTGTAGTAAAAAATGAGCCTAAGTAAAGAAAGCTGGAATCCAAGACTTCTAGATGAAAGACGACGATGAAGGAGAAGGAGAACACTTCAACAAAGAGGAAGAGGAGGAGGAAAGAGAAGAAGAAGAAGAAGAAGAAGAAGAAGAAGAAGAAGAAGAAGAAGAAGAAGAAGAATTCCCACCCTCCTTGTGCTAGAGATTTCACCAAGGGTCTTACATGCTAAGCACATGATTGGCCACTGAATCAATCACTTATGCAATCCAAACACCCACTCCCCTCTCCACAAACCATATAAACAAATCTGAATTTGAAACTTTCTGAGAAGCATGGGATAAACATTTCTATATGTGAATTTGTTACATTAAAAAACATTCCACAAAAGGAAAGGAAAAATAGAAAAGAACAAGAGAAGAAAAAAAGGAAAAAAGAAAAAGCATTACACACAACACTACAGTAAAAAGAAAAACAAAAGGAAGCAACATCAACTCAACAACAGTCAGGTTATTCTTAGAAAAATCTAGTGAATTCACACTAGGATAGATAGGGAGCCTAAGAAAATGATCCTGCATTCCCTCTCCCAACAAAGAAAGTCCTGTTATGCATCTGTTTTGATAGGGTGAAGCATCGACACAAAATTGAAGTAGTCAACAGGACCCCAAAATACCACCAACCTTCAAAAAAACAAACAAAACAAAACTGAACTGTTCTGTACTCAGAAGAAAATCTCGCTATAAGTAGTGTGTAGATAAAGGAGGAAACGCTGCAGAGACCATGTTCCTGAGTTAAATTTACACATTAGAAGCAAACCATGGTAGACTATAGAGAGGCTGTGAAATTGAAATAAAATCTATGAGTCGTCGAATTAAATCACAATTAGTTTACATAGACAGCCACAGATCATGACGATAGACAAACGGTACTGAAGTTAACGCACGACAAAGCAAGCGAAGAGAGTCGAGCTAGCTTTACAAAATCAAAAGAAAACATGCAAGCACTAAAAATCGACTTTGATAAAGCTTTCTGAAAAAAAAAATGTTAGTCTGATGATGGTAAGGTACACAAACCGGCAGACAAATGTTCTATATATGTATAGAGTACTTATTTTCACCCAAGCCTAATTTTCATAACCAGCTCAACAAAAGTCCCTTCAAGACTTGTGCCAAAACAGCAATATTTGGGAGGCAAAGAAATTTATCTCACCTGAATATCTGTCGGGTCACATTTGCCTAAAATGGTAGCTGAGTCTTCAGCTATCAAGAGAGGCTCGCTTTTCCCACAGCTCTCCTGACTGATGAGGGTGTCTGCATAGTTGGGCTGAGGAAAGATGAGGTGACTCTTCCTCGAGTCTGCAGTGAGTGAAACCTCGTGGGAATAGGTCTGGAGAAAAGCTCGCACCCCGTCCACGCCCATAAAATGCGAAGGAGGCATGCCAGCCAATCCGCTGGCAGCCTGGACCAGACGCGAGGAGTGCCAGCGCCGAAGCCTGAGAGCCAGTAGTACCATGACAAAGATGAGGAAGATGCAGGAGACTGTAGTGATGGCCACCACTAGGTAGAGGGTGAGGCCTGACTCATCAGGATTGGCGGGAGTCTCCAGACTAACCAAATCCTCCAGAACCTCTGGGATGCTGTCAGCCACGGCCACAGTAAGTCTGACAGTAGCGGAGAGGGGAGGCTGGCCGTGATCCTGTACAGTTACCACAAGGCTCTGCTTGAGAGCATCTTTGTCCATCAAGACGCGGGCAGTGCGAACCTCTCCTGTGTGCAGCCCCACGGAGAAGAGCCCTGGCTCGCTGGCTTTGAGCAGGCGATAGGACAGCCAGGCATTCTGTCCCGAGTCTCTGTCCACTGCCACCACCTTGGTCACTAAATAACCCGGCTCTGCTGAGCGGGGCGCCAATTCCACCCCAGTGGAGCCATCAGTAGGGAGAGAGGGGTACAGGATCTCTGGAGTATTGTCGTTCTGGTCCAGCACGTACAGGGTCAGCGAAATATTGCTGCTTAATGGTGGGTCCCCACTGTCACTAGCAGTCACTCCCAGTTGTAAGGTTTGGAACTGCTCATAGTCGAAGGATTGCAGGGCATACAGCACACCGGTGTCTGCGTTGATAGAAACATAAGCGGATAGAGGTGATCCCTGGATTGTGTCCTCAGCCAGAGAGTAAGTGACCTGGGCATTTTCTCTGCTGTCCCTATCAACTGCGGTCACTGAGAAGATGGAAGAGCCTCTGGGGTTGTTTTCAGGAATGTAGGCAGAGTAAGAGGGGTGAGTGAAAACTGGAGGGTTGTCGTTGGCATCCGCCACTTTCAGCAGGAGGTGAGTTTCCGTAGACAAGGGTGGACTTCCCTGATCTTTGGCGATTAATGTAATATTGTAGCTCTCCACCTGCTCCCGATCCAGTTCACTACTTGTTATCAATTTATAGTAATTTCCGTAAGTCTTTTCTAACTTAAAAGGAAGACCACTAGGAATGAAGCAAGTGACCTGACCGTTTTCTCCAGAATCTTGATCTTGAACGTTTAAAAGAGCAATTACTGTACCTGAAGGAGAATTTTCCATTACGGAGTTAATGGACGAGGTGACAGTTATCTTTGGAATGTTATCATTCACATCCACAACTGTGATCAGCAACTTGGCGGTGCTCAAGAGGCCTCCACCATCTTGGCCTTGAACTTCCATCTCGTAGAATCTGTACTTTTCAAAATCCAGAGGCTTTCCGACTAGAACTTCTCCAGTTTGAGGATTCAACTGAAAAATTTCAGAAGCTTTGCTTTTCACGTTCCGGAACGAGTACCTCACTTCCCCGTTGATACCCTCGTCTGGGTCTGTGGCGTTTACCACGAGCACCCGAGTTCCAGAGCTGAGGCTTTCGGGAACACTCACTCTGTACACAGACTGTGTGAACTTTGGGGTGTGGTCGTTTACATCGAGGACCACGACACGAACAGGAACCGTGCCCTTGCGGATGGGATCTCCCCCATCTAAGGCTGTGAGGAGAAGATTGTGAGATGCCTCTTTCTCCCGATCCAGGCCTTCCTCCAGCACGAGCTCTGGGTTCTTGTCCCCATCGGTTCCGCCTCTCACCTGCAAGGAAAAGTAGCTACTAGGACTGAGCTGGTAGCTCTGGAGGGAGTTCATCCCCGCATCTGGATCCCTAGCGTTAGGAAGAGGAAATCGCGACCCAGGACTAGCCTGCTCGCTGACTTTGATCTCCACCTCCTCTTCCCGGAAGCTGGGGGCATTATCATTAATGTCCGTTATTTCCACCTCCACTCCGTAAATTTTCAGGGTGTCCTCCACGAGAATCTCCAAATTTAGCAAGCAGGAGGGCAACGTATCACACAACTCTTCACGGTCGATTCTACCTGCGGTGACCAAACTGCCACCTCGCGGATTCAGAGCGAAAAGCTCCGTTTCTGCGTCTCTGGAGACGATGCGGACTCCGCGTTCCGCAACCTCCCAGGGCTCCAGCCCCAGGTCTTTGGAGATGTTGCCCACGAAGAAGCCTTTATCTGTCTCTTCTGGCACCGAGTATCGCATCTGCCCTGCCCCAAACGTCAACAAGGTCCCAAGGAAAACGCACAGCGGGACCAGCGCGCTGCGTACCAGTCTCTGAGGCTGATTCGCCATGGCCCGGTGTGAGCTCTCTTCCGTGGGGTCTTGCGCAGGTTTATTTATTTACTTTTTTCTGTATCACCTTTTGTGTCTACGAGGTTCCAGGATGTCCGCATCCAAAACATATCCCGAAGCGAACGAAGGTGTTCTTATTTCCAGAATTAAGATGCGTGAGTATCCATCCCTTTCAGCTTTGTGTGGTGGAGGTTCGGGAGGACTCAATAGCTTTGTTCTTCCATTCCTTGATTGGTCAACAGCGGCGCCTAGAGTCCAATCTTATTATCACAACCCTAAGAAAAACCTGGTGTCTGTGGCAGAGGAAATTGTCACACTCACCTTTTCCGTGGATCATACACATATGTGAAGTTGAAAACCGCAAACAATAGTGATGTGATGTAAAATCTGCCAAGCGCGCTTATAAAATGGGTAAGTATTAAATGGACTCGTTAAATTAAAAACGTTTCGGAACACTACTGGAACTGGAAATGCGCAGACTAGTTGTGATTCCGACTGGTTTTGCTGACGGAAGAGACACGACATCTGTGGATGTGAAAACAGCACGGCCCACAAAATCCGCAGGTAGGACTCATGGCTATTATGGCTATTATTAATACTTTTATGCAAGTTTTTATTTTAATGTTTGAATTCTGTGGGTATGCGCGTGTCTTTGTGAGTGTGCACATATGTGAATGTGGGTTCATGTGAAGTCCGGGAGAAGGTGGAACTGGAGTTACAGGCAGTAGTGAGCCGACAGTTGTGGGTGCTCGGCCAAAGAGCAGTGGTGCTTTCAACCACTAAGCCAATCTCTCCAGTCCCCACCAGAGTTGTTTGTAAAGTGAATTCTTTTGTTTTTTAACAAGCAAAATAAAGACGAAATGTTTCATTTAAACTTTGAATAGCATTATGTTATCATTTAAAATGTAATAAAATAAAATTGTATTTCATATCTATAACTGCAAGGCATTTTAATGAAAAACTCAAGTGAGATTTTTATATACTTGTGTGTGTTAGAGGCAGGAGGAGAGGGAGGAGAGAATTAGTAATTGAAGCCAGGACTAGGGCATACTACACAAGCAACCCTCAAAAAAAAAAAGAATTCAATATGCTTGGACAGGGGTGTATTGAAGCACAGCCAACCTTCTGTTGTGTGTGCTGGATAAAACCAGGCATATTCCACACGAGGCACATGAGCGTTGTCACCGAGTCATGCTTCCACATCCCTTCCAAACACAGTGATACCCATGAGTTTGGTCTAGATTTCCCTTAGGCGCTTTAAGCTCCAAAAATAGAGCTGGCCAGTTGGGTCATGCGTTTATTCTCAGCACTCGGGAAGCAGAGGCAGGTAGATCTCTGTGAGTTCCAGCTCAGTTTGGTCTACACAGAGAATTCCACGACAACTAGAACTACATAGACTTCTGTCTCAAAACCAAACAAAACCAAACACAAACAAATTGTATTGGAGTGCATTGGAGTACCGGCGTATAAAAAGTGTAAGATTAAATACCTGGTTAAAGGTCTTCTCGTCTGCTTCGACACTAGGAGTTAAAATGCTAGCCAACAGTGCTGAGGAGCTATCTTTGTTGAGAATATCTTGTGCGGCTGGATAATCACCAATAGATGTGAGAAAATTAAAGTCTGGCTTAGCTTGATCTCCTGGCACGCACAAATTATAGGCATAGGGCAATGTTCCTTCACTGTAGTTGGGTGGAAGTACAGGTGGAGACTTGGAGCCAAGAACTGACCCCAAGCAGCCAGTGGTTGACGGGCTGGGAGACTGTCGCAAGCGCAAAGCAATGGCCAAAATTATGGCGAGGAGGAAAAGCACTGAGATCAAGGCCAAGGCCACCACCAGGTAAAACTGAAGCTCACTCTGAGAGTCGGAAGGGGAGGGATGATCGATGAGGTCCGGCAATGTTTCTTGTAGGCTGTCTGCGAAAACTAGAAGCAATGTAGCAGTGGCAGAGAGTGGTGGCTGTCCACCATCACGCACAGCGACCAGAAGGCGCTGCCGAGCCGCGTCCTTGTCGCCCAAGGCACGCGCTGTGCGGACCTCGCCAGTGCGCAGGCCCAGGCTGAATAGCCCAGGGTCGCTGGCCTGCAGCACGTGATACGACAGCCAGGCATTGTGTCCAGAGTCTGCATCCACTGCCACCACTTTGGTAACCAGATATCCGGGCTCGGCAGCGCGAGGCACCATGTCGAAGAGCGCGGAACCATCGGGCTCCAGCGCAGGGTACAGAACGCGCGGCGCGTTGTCGTTGCGGTCGCCCACCAGTATGCGCATGCTCACGTTGACGCTGAGCGCGGGCGAGCCCTGGTCGCGGGCCTGCAGTGTCAGCTGGAAGGAGCGGAGCTGCTCGTGGTCGAAGGCGCGCTGCGCGAACACCACTCCACTGTCCTGGTTCACGGATACAAATGATGACAACGTCTTTGGGTCTAGGTCGCTGGCAATGATGGAGTAGGAGACGAGGCCATTTGGTCCCAGATCTGGATCCCATGCTTTGACTTGGGTTATGGAGGTACCGGGCTGGTTGTTTTCTGGTACATTTACCAGATAGGCGGGCTCTTGGAAAACAGGTGCGTTGTCGTTGACGTCAGCGACGTGCAGAACGATGGTTGTGCTGGAGGAAAGGGGCGGCTGGCCCCTATCTGTGGCTGTGATAGTGATGTTGTACCCCGGGGTCTGTTCCCGGTCTAGGGTGCTATCTGTTACTAACTTGTAGTAATTATTGGAAGAGGAATGAATCTTAAACGGACTATCTCTGCTTAAACTGCACGAAACTTCTGCGTTTTCCCCGGAATCTCGATCCCGTACTTTGAAGAGGGCCACAACCGTTCCAGAAGGGGAATCCTCCAAAATCTGTTCAGAGAGGGAAGTGATGATTATTTCTGGGCTGTTGTCGTTCTCATCTAGAACTTCTATAATTACTTTGCACTGTGAAGAAAGAGATCCTCGGTCCTTTCCCTCCACATCAATCGTATATCTTTCTACTTCTTCAAAATCCAATGGCTGGCGAGTTACAATATCTCCGGTTATAGGATCCAGAGAGAACACGTGCTGGGCTTTGTTAGCTACTCCGAGGAAGGAGTACGTGAATTCTGCATTGCTGCCCTCGTCCTGATCCGTGGCTCTCAGCCTTAGGACGGCCGTCCCTGGAGGCACATCTTCCCGAAGGCGGACCCTGTACACATCTTGGCTGAACACTGGGGGGTTATCGTTGGCATCCACCACTCGGATTCGGAGCTGAGTGGTGCCACTTCGGGGCGGGTCCCCACCGTCTACAGCTGTCAGCACCAGATGGTGGGTGCTCTCTGTTTCTCGGTCCAGCATCTTTTGCAGTTCTAATTCTGGGTATTTGCTACCATCCGGGTTGTCTTTCACCAACAATGAGAAATACTCGTTAGGACTTAGTTGATACTTGCTCAGTGAATTCACACCAATATCAGGATCTTCTGCAGACTCCAGAATTGTTCTCATCCCTGGGCTGACGGATTCACTTATTTCTAGGTTTATTTCATCTTTTGGGAATTGAGGAGCGTGATCATTAACGTCCTCAACTTCCACGACGACATGAAAAATATTCAAGGGGTTTTCCAGCACGGCTTCCAACTGCAGCTCACACCTTCTTCTCTCCTTGCAAATCTGCTCACGGTCTATGCGGTCCTTCACCAGTAAGTCCCCGCTCTCCGCGTCTACGCTGAAGTGCAGCTTCTCAGCGCTAACCCGCAGCTTCCGAGCTGACACTTCCAGGACACTGAGCCCCAGATCCTTGGCCAGGTTCCCCACCACAGAGCCGCGGTCCAGCTCCTCCGGGATGGAGTAGCGGACCGGCTTGGCCAGCGCCGGACAGAACAAAGGCAGCAGCAGTGTAAACAGTACCTGCGGGCGGCTGGGGCGCCGCCGGTGCGCGCAGCTCCCTCCCATTGTTGGCTCGGGTTCTCTCTGGGTCTTCGGTTCTTCACAGCAGGATAGAGTGCAGTTTTCTGAGGCAGTAGTGCGTTAAACCCAGGACAGCGGGATCCCAGTGTAGGACTGGGAATCGGTGTCTTAGTCTCTGTGAATGAGAGTTCCCTTTGGAATGTATTCGCTTCTGCGGAGGAAATTCCAGCCTAGAGACCAAGGGATCCGGGTCTTTGGAGCTTGCGCTGCACTGGCCGACAGCGGCGCCCAGAGGCTTTGAGTGGAATTGCAGTCTGGCATTTCATATTTTGAGGAATCTTTTATTTTATATAAAAGCAAATTGATAGCCAAATATTTTATTTCTCATTTATTTTGTTTTCATCTTGAAAATTTTTAATATTAAATATTATGCTTAATTTGTAAAAAAATGATCATTTTGGGTAGACTGAAGGACTATTTCCTTCAAATAAAAAGGCATGAAAGAAAGTAAAGGGAAAGTACACAGACCCTAACCCATGGACTACATTTCCCAAATCATCCACCCGTAAGAGATGACTATCACTCCTTTTGAGGGTAATTATCTTTTGTCATCAACCCAACCTTTGTCGGTTAAAACGCAAAACCCCGTCACCCATATTTAGAATGCAACCCTGGCTGTATTCAGCCTCCAGGATGTTCAACATTGCTCTAAAGATTTTTAATAGAATATTTTTGTCAAAAGAGTTGTGTTGAAGCTTGCTTTTTTTCAATTAATGGAACTGAAATGTACACAGAATAATAATTATTACTCTTGTGGGACAAAGATGTAGAATAACAATTTCAATGACCAAACAGCGTTATAACTCCAGGTGTGTACTTACCTTCCAGGGATCTACAATTAAACAAGTGTTGACACAAAAATGTTATGGTCTCAGGTGTATTTTGAGACTAGGTAGAGCACTCCTTTTTCTAGTAACTTCAGCAGAGTAATAATAAATCCAAAGATTGAACCAAATATATCAGTATTTTCTTGCACTAAATGTGCTCACCAATATCTCCACTAATCAATCATTTAGAAGGATTTCATGTAATCTTTGCTTAAATTCTGATCCCCTGCAGAAATGCCAGTTCTTCCTTTGCTCTTAGCTCTTAGTTTATTTTAAAGTTTTGACCCAGTACTTTTGGGTTTCCTCTGAGTTTTCTTCTACATTAAAGATGAAATACCCTTATCATACATGCTTAGCATCTGTTCTTAGGAACACACACATTATTCTCCCCAAATCTGTATTTATATTTTAGCTTTACTTAGTGGCATGTTTAATTGTGAAGGAAAAAAGACAAAGAGAACAAAAAAGATCTCCTCAATCTAACCATATAAATTCCTGGAATTGTTGGGTAAGGAAAGTCATTTTAAAAGACTGTATCTCTCATATAATAAGATGTTACATAATTATAGGCAAAAGGAAAGACAGTGGGCTAACGGGTATGATTGTGGTTATAAAGATTCTAAGCACGTAGTTATGAATTGTTGGTCGACTATCAATTAAAAACTTAAAATCTCTAATGAGTATTTCATGTATTGTTTGAAAAGACTGCAAAGACATATTGACTGTCCTTAATGTCCGCAATGAACAGCGGTAAACCCGGCTTGTGTATCTGGTGGGGTGAAGGCATTTGTTTCTGACATTTACCTACTTTTGACAAACTTGACTTCAAAAGCGGTAGGGTTGCAGCATGTGACCCCTGAGGAGGGCACAAAAATCAACAGACACTTTCAGATGAAAACGGTTCCCTTTTAGGAACTGTCAGTGTTGCACAACACAATACACAAGGTTCTGCAAGGCTACTCATGACAACCTTATGCAATCTCAGTGATTTTCATGACAGTTTCCAAAATAGTCTTAGCCACCAGATTCTACTCTTTAACGTTTCAGCAAGAGGCATGTGACGCCGGAAACCGGAACCGGTACCGAGGGAAGTGGTTTTAAAGTAGAGATCTACTATTACTACCACCCGGTTTTGAGCCTAAATGTAAATCTAACCATAGCTGTTTAAAGAAAAGGTAAAATTAGCACTCACTGGCACCAGAGGGGCATCTTCTACAGGGCACTTCGAATCATCTAACAGAGACAAAGGATCTTTTTTCTCGCAACTCTCTTGGCTGATGAGCGTGTCTGCATAGTTGGGCTGCGGAAAGATCAGGTGACTCTTCCTGGAATCAGCAGTGAGGGAAACCTCATGCGAATAGGTTTGCAAGAAAGCGCGCACCCCGTCCACGCCCACATAGTGAGAGGCAGGCAGGCCACTCAATCCATCTCTGGAAGACTGAAGCGCGTGAGACTCGTGCCAGCGCCGAAGTTTGATTGCCAACAACACAATAACAAAGGCGAGAAAAACACAGGACACCACTGCCACTGCCACTACTAGGTAGAGGGTGAGGCTTGAGGTTTCAGAGTCCTGCGGTGGCTCCAGGTTGCTCAAGTCCGCCAGAACATTGGGGATGCTGTCAGCTACTGCAACAGTCAAAGTGACTGTGGCGGAGAGAGGAGGCTGGCCGTGGTCTTGTACGGCTACCACTAGACTCTGCTTGAGGGCATCCCTCTCCAGCAATGCCCGCGCCGTGCGCACCTCTCCTGTGTGCAGCCCCACCGAGAATAGCCCTGGTTCGCTGGCTTTGAGTAGGCGATAGGACAGCCAGGCGTTCTGTCCGGAGTCTCTGTCCACCGCCACCACCTTCGTCACAAGGTAGCCCAGCTCTGCTGAGCGGGGAGCAAGCTCTACCCCAGTGGAGCCGTCAGTGGGCGGAATGGGGTACAAAATTTCTGGTGAGTTGTCATTCTGATCCAGCACCAACAGGGTCAAGGACGCATTGCTGCTGAGGGGAGGCTTCCCGCTGTCACTAGCAGTCACCTGCACCTGCAGTTCACGGAACTGCTCATAGTCAAAGGAGCAGAGAGCGTACAGGATGCCGGTGTCTGAGTTGATGGAGATGTAGGAAGAAAGTGGTGTCCCCTCAATGGTGTCCTCAGCCAGAGAGTAAACGATCTGGGCGTTCTCTTTGCTGTCGGGATCCAGGGCTGTCACCGAGAAGATGGAAGCGCCCCTGGGGTTGTTCTCTGGGATATAGGTAAAGTAGGAGCCCTGAGAGAAGGCGGGAGGGTTGTCGTTGATATCCGCCACTTGCAGAGTGAAGTGAGCTTTGCTTGACAAAGGTGGGTTTCCCCCATCAGTGGCTGTTACAGTGATGTTGTAAGAGGATACCTGTTCCCTATCAAGGGCTCTCTGTGTCACTAGTCTATAGTAACTATCAATGGATTTTTCTAATTTAAATGGTAGATCCCCTGAGATGGAACAGGTTACCTGTCCATTCTGCCCAGAGTCTAAATCATGCACGTTTAACAGGGCTATGACAGTTCCCGCAGGCGAATTTTCAGCCACTGGACTGAAGAGAGATGTGATGGTCACCTCTGGAGTGTTGTCGTTTACATCCTCTACCGTAACCAACACCTTTGCAGTTGCAAGATAGGCCCCTCCATCTTCAGCTTGGATTTCTATTTTATAGAAACTCATTTCTTCATAGTCTAGATTTTCGGATATTTTTATCTCCCCAGTATTTTTGTCTAGTTGGAATTTCAACAATTGCGTGTCCAGCAGTTTTCGGAATGAGTATGTCACTTTTCCATTGGCGCCTTCGTCTTTGTCGGTGGCAGTTACCTTTAGCAGCCGAGTGCCCACAGGCAAGTTCTCTGGAATGTTCACTCGGTATTCAGGCGAGGTGAAGATTGGAGCATTGTCATTTGTATCAAAGACAGTCACAGTGATGAGCACAGTGCCTGATCTGGGAGGGCTACCCCCGTCAGAGGCCACGAGAACCAGGTGGTGAATCGCCTCTTCCTCACGATCTAGGGTGTGCTCCAGCACTAGCTCCGGGTACTTGACGCCATTAGCGCCACTCTGAATGCCTAGGGAGAAGTGCTTATTGGGGCTGAGCTGGTAGCTCTGCAGAGAGTTCACGCCCACATCCGGATCAATAGCTTCCGGGAGAGGAAAACGCATCCCTGATGCGACATTTTCATTAATTTTTACATCTAGAGTTTCTGCTTGGAATTTTGGCGCATTGTCATTGATATCCGTTACCTCTATCTCTATCCCGAAGAGTTTCACCCTGTCCTCCACAAGGATGTTAAAGCTTACAAGACAGGGCGCGCTCTGGGCACACAGCTCCTCCCGGTCTATCCTGCCTGCCGTGACCAAGCTGCCGCCTCGCGGGTTCAGGGAGAAAAGCTGCGACCTACCTCTGGAGACGATGCGGACCCCGCGCTCCGCCAGCTCGCGGGGCTCCAGCCCCAGGTCCTTGGAGATGTTGCCCACAAAAGAGCCTTTCTCTAGTTCTTCAGGGACAGAGTAGCGGATCTGCCGGGCTGCGGACTCCCAGGGCATCCATAGCAAAAGGAGGATCAGTTTGGTGCTCTCTGAGAGATTCCTTTGAGCCGCCATTGTCTCCTGACCACATACGCCGGGCGCGCTGTGTGTGTTTGACTCGGTTCTTTTCTTCTTTCTATGGCGAAGGAGTCTCCCGCAGATGGAGCACCTTAAATTCCGGGGTGATTTTCGTTGCAGTTCAGGAGAGGGTTTGCAGGAACTGAGAGATTTTAAGCCTTTGGACCCTGAGAATTCCAACAGGGCTCGGGCGGAGTTTTGCTCCTCGTAGGTGAACAGCGGCGCTCAGAGTCGGAAGAAGTTACTGCACCCACTACAGTATCTCAGCGAATGTATCCTTCTGTTGAATTGTTTTATTTTATATTAACCCTTTGATTTCTCTGTTCATTTTTTTAAAGAAAAAGTGTGACATTGAAATCAGGGCTTCACACATGCTAGACAAGTTCTCCATCACTGAGTTATATCCAAGTCCTTCTCAACTTGTAGGCTACTGGGGAGTGTAATAAGTTATATTGATAATATTTGCAACTTATCTCCAACAGGAGCATACCTACTTAAAGCATGAATAATGTTTATTTTCGTGTTGAAAAATTTCACAACTTTGATATTCATTCACACGGAGATAACTATACTCCTTTTGATAAAATTCACTGAAAGATTTTATTTTCTTTAATTTTATTATGTTGTTTAGTTTATAATCCAGCCAGAGGCTGACATGATAGTCTATTATTATTAACAATTTTAAAAATGTACTTTTTATTATATAGAATTGTTATTGAAAATTTAATTAGGCTATTTAGAAATAAATTCATAAAATAATTAGAAAGTAAAAGGAGCAAATTGTATGGTTGCCTACTAAAATGCAACGTAATGGGAAGAAAACATATATAGGCATTTCAGGCACCAGAAGCAAAACCAAAGATACAGTGATGTGAATTTTTTCAGTATAGGGAGTCAAAGAATGTGAGCCCAGTGCTCTACACTTGAGCTAAACCCCATCCCTGACGTTGAGTTTTGAATAAGTTTCTGTGTCAAGTATCTTATTATATCAGAACATTGATAGCAATATTAACAGTGTCTTCTCCTTGGCAGTTTATATGGTAATGTGAAGAAGGTGGACCACAAATTTGTAGTTTTGCCTGCCCACCCACACCCAGAAGTCACAGGTTTACTTCTTTTTACAGAGGAAACAGGTTGTTTAAAAGTGTCTCAGTCAGCTGGGTGGTGGTGGTGCACGCCTTTAATCCCAGCACTCGGGAGGCAGAGACAAGCGGATCTTTGTGAGTTCGAGACCAGCCTGGTCTACAAGAGCTAGTTCCAGGACAGGCTCCAAAACCACAGAGAAACCCTGTCTCGAAAAACAAAACAAACAAACAAAAAAAAGTGTTTCAGTCAGTGTGGCTGAATTGTTCAGACATTTTGTTATAGTTTTAAGAGGCAGAGTCTTGTTCCTTGAGCACTGGAATTCTAGATAGGTACTGGCCAGACCCAGGTATGAATTTTATCTTTTTTCTTTCAAAGATCTTAAATCAAAGTCAGAGACTGAAAACAAAAGGGCAAGAACATCTCCCAGTTTTCTCGGAGATCATTTCTTTCAATCTAGAAGAAGAGATTGAGAAAAGGCACAAAAGCAGTTCTAAGGAAAAGGGAAGAAATAATATGGAAGAAAGCTAGAAGAAGTAAAGTGGAGGAGAAAAATCCCTGTAGGTCAGTTACATTAACTTTCGGGGACTACAAAACCTTGGGAATGTGAACAAATCTTAGTCACGTCCCAAGAGAAGCTTCTGTCACTGAACAGAAATTGGAAGATCTGTTAGCTGATGTCCCAATCACTTCTCAAGTGCTCATGAGTAGACAAAAAAAAAAAAAACCATGAAAATAAATGAAGACACCAAAAGGCGGCAGAAATGATTTACAATGAATATTTTCTTAGAAAGGAGCACTGATCTGATAGTTCAACATGCTTTAACATTTTAGACATTATATAGACTAGATGCATAAAATCATTTAAGTAGCAAGTTTGGAGAGGTTACTCATTTATTTGGTTAAACACCAAGACTACTGCTTTAAAATTATTTTATGTTTATGAGTGTTTATGTGCATATATATATATGCACCACATGAAGGCCTGGAGCCCAAGGAAGTCAGAAGACGGTGTCAGATACCCTCATCCCCTGGAACTACAGTGATGGCGGTTCTGAGCCCCTGTGGGTGCTGGGAACCCAATGCATGTCCTCTGCAAAAACAAGAACTCATCACTCTTGAGCCATTTCTCCAGACTCAAGAGTTTTACTGCTTTTGTTGCCAACCAGAGCCTTACAAGGTATCTCCAATTTCTTAACTTTATTTTTTCCACTGAAGGATAAGATCAACTTATGAACGAAAAGTTGTCATTTCACCATTGAGAAGACATGGTGGCAGTTAGCTACCAGTTTTTCAAATATGAACCTAGATATGAAAGCAAAGTTACTATGCCTGAAACAAGAGAAACTAGGATTATTAAAGAATAAAATGAAACTTACCGGTGTTAGAGTCTCGGGATGTGTTGTCAAATCATCCCCAACGTGAAGCGGAATTAAAGCCCCCGGAGAACTACTGCAAACTATGTCTTCAGCAGAAGGCAGGGGTGCGCTACATTTCAGGAAATTTAACTCTGCCTTTCCAGTATGCCCAACGCACAGATTGTAGGAATAAGGCAGAGTCCCCTCGCTATAGTTGAGAGAAACCCCTGGCCTAGTCTTAGAGCAAAGACCAGATTGAAAGCAGTCCCAGACAGAGGGGCTGGAAGAGTGTCGCAGTCGAAGCGCGATGGCTAGAATCACAGCCAGGAGGAAAAGCACAGAAATCAAGGCCAAGGCCACCACCAAGTAGAACTGCAGCTCAGCTTGAGGGTCAGGGGATAGTGGGCGGTCACTGAGGTCTGGCAGGGCCTCCTGCAGGCTGTCAGCAAATACTAGAAGCAGCGTGGCGGTGGCCGAGAGAGGCGGATGTCCACCATCGCGAACACCAACCAACAGACGCTGCCGCGCCGCGTCTTTGTCTCCCAAGGCACGCGCTGTGCGCACCTCGCCAGTGCGCAGGCCCAGGCTGAAGAGTCCAGGATCGCTGGCCTGCAGCACGTGGTACGACAGCCAGGCATTGTGTCCCGAGTCTGCATCCACCGCCACCACTTTGGTGACCAGGTATCCGGGCTCGGCGGCGCGCGGTACCATGTCGAAAAGCGCAGAGCCATCGGGCTCGAGCGCGGGGTACAGCACGCGTGGCGCGTTGTCGTTGCGGTCGCCCACCAGTATGCGCATGCTCACGTTGGCGCTGAGCGCGGGCGAGCCCTGGTCGTGGGCCTGCAGTGTCAGTTGGAAGGAGCGGAGCTGCTCGTGGTCGAAGGCGCGTTGCGCGAACACCACTCCGCTCTGTGCATTCACGGTCACGTAAGACCACAGCAATTTAGGTTCCAGGTCACTGGCTATGATGGAGTAGGAGATGTGACCATTGGATCCCAAATCCGGGTCAGAGGCGCTGACTTGAGCGATGGAGGCTCCGGGTGGGTTGTTCTCCGCCACGTGGACTATGTAAGATGACTTCTGGAAAGCCGGGGCGTTATCGTTTACGTCAGTGATGTGCAGAGTGATGGTTGTACTGGAAGAAAGGGGTGGCTTGCCCTTGTCCGTGGCGGTGATGGTGACATTATACTGTGGGTCCTGCTCTCGGTCTATGGCTCCATCTGTTACTAACTTGTAGTAGTTGCTAGAAGAAGCCTGAAGCTTGAAAGGCAGGTCTTTGCCTATGTCACAAGTCACTTCTCCATTTCCCCCGGTATCCCGATCTCGCGTTTTGAAGAGGGCAACCACCACTCCGGGGGGAGAATTCTCCAAGATACGTTCAGAAAGAGAGGTGATGACTATTTCTGGACTGTTGTCGTTTTCATCTAGGACTTCTATGATGATTTTACACTGTGTGGAGAGACCGCCTCCATCTTTCGCTTCCACCTCCATGGTGTATCTTTCTACATCTTCGAAATCCAATGGCTGGTTATTCTTAATCACGCCTGTTTTCTCATCTAGAGAGAACACGTGCCTTGTGCTCTGGGCCGTGCTCCGAAAGTAGTAACTTACCTCAGCATTGACGCCCTCATCCTTATCAGTGGCTGTCACTTGCAACACGGAGGATCCTGGCGGCAAATTTTCACTAACACTGGTCCTGTATTCCTCCTTGCTGAACGCTGGAGGGTTGTCGTTGTTGTCCTTTACAGATATTTCTATCTGAGTGGTAGCACTCCGAGGCGGGTCCCCTCCATCCAAGGCAGTCAGTATCAAGCGATGAGACCTTTGTTCTTCCCTGTCTAGGAGTTTCTCAAGAGACAGCTCCGGGCTTTTGCCGCCATCAGGATTAACTCTAACCATTAATGAGAAATAAGAGTTGGGGCTTATCTGGTAATCTTTAATTGAATTCGAATTTATGTCGGGGTCAATGGCAGGCTCAAGGGGTATTCGTGTACCAACTGACACAGTTTCTAGAATTTCTAAACGCGTTTCTTTCTTCTCGAATTGAGGAGCGTGATCATTAACGTCCTCAACCTCCACGACGACATGAAAAATATTCAAGGGGTTTTCCAGCACGGCTTCCAACTGCAGCTCACACCTTCTTCTCTCCTTGCAAATCTGCTCACGGTCTATGCGGTCCTTCACCAGTAAGTCCCCGCTCTCCGCGTCTACGCTGAAGTGCAGCTTCTCAGCGCTAATCCGCAGCTTCCGAGCCGACACTTCCAGGACACTGAGCCCCAGATCCTTGGCCAGGTTCCCCACCACAGAGCCGCGGTCCAGCTCCTCCGGGATGGAGTAGCGGACCGGCTTGGCCAGCGCCGGACAGAACAAAGGCAGCAGCAGTGTAAACAGTACCTGCGGGCAGCTGGGGCGCCGCCGGTGCGCGCAGCTCCCTCCCATTGTTGGCTCGGGTTCTCTCTGGGTCTTCGGTTCTTCACAGCAGGATAGAGTGCAGTTTTCTGAGGCAGTAGTGCGTTAAACCCAGGACAGCGGGATCCCAGTTTAGGACTGGGAATCGGTGTCTTAGTCTCCGTGAATGAGAGTTCCCTTTGGAATGTATTCGCTTCTGCGTAGGAAATTCCAGCCTAGAGACCAAGGGATCCGGGTCTTTGGAGCTTGCGCTGCACTGGCCGACAGCGGCGCCCAGAGGCTTTGAGTGGAATTGCAGTTTATCTTGTTTAGAAATCCCTTTCCAAAATGTATATATTGTTCTGAATATGCAGCTATGCAATAGCCGCAAAATTTAATCTTACTATGGGATTACAGTGAGTACTTATGTATTTAAGGTTTTAAAGGCAATTATGTACAATTGGAAATTTGTACCACACTGTAGAATATTAAGTATTGTGTTATGAATCTTCAGGTATAGCTCAGACCAACCAACCACCTTCAACAGTGATGAACATAAAGCCAATCTTTGTTTAGTGTGCATTGATCTTTCTGGCTATTGAGGAGAAAATTCAAAATATATGGTGTAATTTAACACTCTCTTTTTTAAAGAAACAAAAATACCAGTAATTTCACTTCCAGCCTATTTATGTTCTACATTCTGTTATCTACACACATAGCTTAAGAGCACCAGCACTGCTTGCTTCCCACAGCCTTTCCAGTCATCAGCCCAGTTACCTATGTTGTGGTTTTATAGATAAGGGGCAGTTGGGTGTGAAGTCATGTGTCTGCAAGCACAAGATAAAGAATTGAAGATGAGCCTGGGAGATACAACAGGGCCCTGAGTCAAAAAGCCAACTGAACTAAACCAAGACAAACGAAAATGTCCTCACCTGTGCTCTTGTAAACCACTCTGATAAAAACCACACAAAAGACACGGACAAAGTAGTGGGGCCAGTTGGGAAGAGGAAGGGAAAGCGTGGGAGTACGGTGGAGGTGAGGGGTGGTAATGGGAACTGAATGTGATTGAAACACATTGCACACATGTATGAAAATGTCATGATTAACATATGCTAATAAGCATTGAGAAGAGATGTTTTGTGTAGACTCTTATCTACTTACCACATCATAGATACATACATCACAAGTATCTGTGTTATGTTTTCCCCAAATTAATGTGCATTTTACATGCATTAATTTAAATACAGATGTGACTCCTCAGAAGAGAAATTTGAAAAATTTCTATACTACATAATTAGAAAATTAGATTTCCAGAGAATTCTTATTTTCTTCTATTAGCATACAGAAGAAAGAATGGTTTCTTCTACTTCATTTTTAAGGTGATGCAGATTGAACCCAGAGCTGTGCACAAGATCTAGTTCCAGGACAGGCTCCAAAGCTACAGAGAAACCCTGTCTTGAAAAAACACATTTTTTAGACAGTGTTGTTCTACATAGACCTGGTTGTCCTGGAACTCACTCTGTAGACCAGGTGGTCCTCAAACTCACAGAGATCTGCCTGCCTCTGCCTCCCAAGTGCTGGGATTAAAGACAGGCACCAGGCTGTAGAATAGACATTTGGAGGTTTCATCTCTTTCCCTTTCTTTTTCAGGCACAGGGAAACTGGGTGTTTCACACAGGACAGCCAAGTACTCTGCCACTGAGCAATACTCCCATCTCCAAAGTTATGTTCAAGTGTTCTCCTGCATGCCATCCTTGAATGTTGACCTTATGTTGAAAAAAACCAAGTAATAAATTATTTTTCCTAATATTTAAAATCCAAGAAAATCTTTTTAGATTCTTCTGCAAAGGTTCGGATACCAGTTTCTAACTTACATTCTAACTACTTCTTGAGGTTGGCAAATTGAGCTGGAGACAAAATTTTAATTTCCTATATTTGACAAATTTTTAATTCCTCATATTAGCAACTTCTCTTGCGCAAGCATACACTTGAAAGAAGAGTGTGAAGCTATTTTTCATAACTTGACACTATAGCACTAGGAAACCCACGCCTTTAATGTCATTACTGTAAAGGATTCTACAATTTTCAGCATTAAAAGAAGAAAAGACAAAAAGACTTTGCTGGGGTTTGGGAATCATAGCTGAAACTTGAATCACCCTCAGAAAAGATTTCTTTTTTGTTTTGCTCTTCGAGACAGGGTTTCTCTGTGTGCTTTGGAGCCTGTCCTGGAACTCACTCTGTAGCCCAGGCTGGCCTCAAACTCACAGAGATCTGCCTGCCTCTGCCTCCTGAGCACTGGGATTAAAGGTGTGTGCCACCACCACCTGGCCTCAGAAAAGATCTTTAGCATAAATAATTTCTTCAAACTTACGGTCTGAAAAACAATAGTTCATTTAGGTATTTTCCTGTCACAAAATAGAAATTTGGGGGCAGAGACTGTGGGGTTTCAGCTGTTTCTCCAAGAAAGGATCACCTATTATTTCACCCTTACGGAAGTGTCACACTGGAAACTATTTTAGGAGCGAGAACTACACTGAGGGGCATGAGGAACAATGACCACTTAATGTCAGGAAGAGAACTCCAGCTGGAGAGATAGTAGAGAGTCACCATGACCAACCAATCCGTTCTAGCCATGCAGGAAAATAGGAACCGCCCCTACTGACAAGAATTTTATAATAAAAAAGTCAAAATCATATCAGTGATGTCCGACCAATCAACTGAAAGACTAGGCTCAGTGAAAAATTGAGTGGTTATAAATACGTAAACATCGACTTATGCAACATGAAAACAGAGAGCTAATTATCATAAATTAATAAAGGGAAAAAACCCAAACTCACAGGAACCAAAGGAATGTCATCAATGGGAAACTTGGACTCAACTGAGCTGCACACAGGTTCGCTTTTCCCACAGCTCTCCTGGCTGATGAGCGTGTCTGCGTAGTTGGGCTGCGGGAAGATTAGGTGGCTCTTCCCAGAGTCAGGTGTGAGGGAGAACTCTTGAGAATAGGTCTGTAGGAAAGCTTGAACCCCATGCACGCCCACAACATGTGATGGTGGTACCCCAGTCAATCCGCCTGATGTGGCCTGTAGCAGATGCGAAGCGTGCCAGCGCCTTAGCCTAAGGGCCAGCAGTGCAAGTACAAAGACTAGGAAGACACAGGAGACCACAGCAACTGCCACTACCAGGTAGAGTGTGATATCAGAATCAGGGTCTGCAGGAGTGTCGACACTACCCAAGTCAGCCAGGATGTCGGGGATGCTGTCTGCCACAGCCACTGTGAGAGTGACAGTGGCAGAAAGAGGGGGTTGGCCATGATCCTGGACAGCCACCACGAGGCTTTGCTTGAGTGCGTCTCTGTCTTGCAGCGCCCGAGCCGTGCGCACTTCGCCTGAGCGGAGCCCTACTGTGAAGAGTCCGGGCTCACTAGCCTTGAGCAAACGGTAAGACAACCAGGCGTTCTGTCCCGAGTCTTTGTCCACCGCCACCACCTTGGTCACTAGATAGCCGGCCTCTGCTGAGCGGGGCGCCAGCTCCACACCGGTGGAGCCATCGGTTGGGAGGGAGGGGTACAGAATCCTGGGAGCATTGTCATTCTGATCCAGTAGAAACACAGTCAGGGACGCGTTGCTGCTTAGTGGGGGATGTCCGCTGTCGCTTGCCCTCACCTGCATCTGCAGATTTCGAAACTGCTCATAGTCAAAGGATTGCAGAGCATAGAGCACACCGGTGTCGGAGTTGATGGAGACGTAGGAGGAGAGTGGAGCTCCCTGGATGGTGTTCTCCACCAAAGAGTATGTGACCTTAGCGTTCTCACTGTCATCGGGGTCGTGGGCAGTAACCGAGAAGATGGAGGTGCCTCTGGGGTTGTTTTCAGGGACATAGACTGAGTATGAAGTTTGAGAGAAGGCAGGTGGGTTGTCATTGATGTCAGCTACGTACAGGGTGATGTGACTTTCTGTGGACATGGATGGGGTTCCCCTGTCTGTTGCCGTCACTGTGATGTTATACTCAGAAGCTTTTTCTCGATCCAGAGTCTGGGTTGTCAACAACCTGTAGTAATCATCTACTGAATTTTCTAATTTAAAAGACGGGTTCTCCTGGATGGAACAGACAACTTGACCGTTCTTTCCCGAGTCTTGGTCTTGAGCATTGAAAAGAACGATTACAGTCCCTGGAGGCGCATCTTCCCTCACGGGGCTAAACAGAGATGTAATGGTCACTTCCGGCCGATTGTCGTTTACATCTTCTACCATAATTACCAGTTTGGTCCGCCCTTTCAGTCCCCCACCATCTTCAGCCTGTATTTCCATTTCATATAATGAACATTCTTCATAATCCAGAGCTTTCGCTACTGATATTTCCCCGGTATTTTCATGAAGATGGAATAACAGGGACTGTTTGTCATTAATCTTCCGGAATTTATATGTCATTTTCCCATTGGCACCCTCATCCGGGTCGCTAGCTCTCACTGTAAGCAGCAAGGTGCCCGGGGTCACGTTCTCAAGGACTTTCACGCGGTAAAGCGGTTGGTCGAAAACAGGGGCATTGTCGTTTGTATCCAACACTGTGATCTGGATGAGCGCTGTGCTGGAGCGGCGCGGGTCGCCGCCATCGGAGGCGGTGAGGACCAGGTGGTGAATGGGCTCTTCCTCTCGGTCCAGGGTGCGCTCCAGCACCAGCTCTGGGTTTATAGTTCCGTCGTCTCCAGTTTGCAGGTGTAGAGAGAAGTGTTGGTTGGGGCTGAGCTGGTAACTCTGGAGGGAGTTTATGCCCACATCTTGATCAACCGCTTCTGGGAGTGGGTACCGTGCTCCGGGGGCAGCGATTTCGCTGATTTTTACTATCAAATTTTCAGCCTCAAATTTCGGCGGATTGTCGTTGATATCAAGCACCTCTACTTCCACCCCATAAAGTTTCACTCTGTCTTCAACTAGGACTTTAAAGCTTAGGAGACAGGGTGTGCTCTGGGCACACAGCTCCTCCCGGTCTATCCTGCCTGCAGTGACCAAGCTGCCGCTCCGCGGGCTCAGAGAGAAAAGCTGAGTCTTACCTTTGGAGATGATGCGAACTCCGTGTTCCGCCAGCTCACGGGGATCCAGTCCCAGGTCCTTAGAGATATTTCCCACCATATAACCCTTTTCTGTCTCTTCTGGTACCAAATAGCGGATCTGCCTGGCCCTGGCCTCCCACAGCATCC